AAGAATTACATATCAATTTCCACAAAAAACATTTTGCCAACTATTAACCCAAAACTCCTGACGAAGTATTCATCCCCACACAGAGTTAGGAAATTTCCCAATTTTTTCCGTAATTTTCATGCATTTTTAATGATTTTTGGGAAAAAAAAACTGAATAAAATATATAAGAAATGCCAAGTGGAGGCACTGGAGTGGGGAGCTGCAAGCATGACCGCCACACGGCGCATTCCCATGCCGCCACTCGCCAGTTTTACTATTTTGTGATCGTTTCCACTTAAATATTCGATTTTTAAACGACTTCAAGGGTGTAGGGGTTTGCCGCCTACAGTTTAGGGTTTACTGTCGAGTGCTTAGGGTTAAAAAATATTAAACCAATGCTTTTCTTTCCCGCTCATGGGTTAGGGTTAACAAAAAAAAAACATTCCTGCAAATTTTGAATTTGCCACTCACAGACACGGATTGTACAATTCCTTTTCAGATTTTAAGGAAAATTAATTGGGGGTTTTGAGCAAATTTTTGGCAGGGTTGTCATCTTCTGTTATCTTCATTTTCCCTTCTGGGCAAAGCTATGTCGAATTCTTCAACAAACACTCTAGGAAAGAGGTGTCGGCACTGCAATGCTGAGATGGTTATGCTAATTTCCAAATCTGAAAGGAATATGGGCAAACCGTATTGGAAGTGCTTCACAACATATGTAAGTATTATTTTCCCTAAGCCAATAACATTAACTCAGATCGGCCATTGCCTAAGCCAACGAAAACTGCTACAGAGTAGAAGAATTGGGTCTGACATTGTAATCTGAAAATGAAAAATGTAACTTTCTTATGTTTTTTAAGGAGCTACAAGGTGTATCATTTCTGAATTTGGCAGTTCAAGTGATGAAGAAGTAAGAAACTTTTTGCGTCTGGAAATCTTCAAGCAATTTCAAGTATATATTTTTAAATTGTGTTCTGTTTTGGCTTTTCAAGTATATATTTTGTAATTTTCTAATCCGGACAGCTATGAAATATGAAGAAGTGTTTGCAAATCTACTATTATGAATTAATCATTGAGCATAATTAGGAAATGAATTTTTGAACGTTTGATATGCCTGCATCTTGAACTTCACAATCTTGTTTGCCATAAACAAGAAACATTCCTATTTATTCCACATTTGAAAACACAGTGTGACACCATTTACGGTTTATGGTTCAGCATAGTATCAACAACATGTGTTGACGGTTTCGTACAGGTTGTATTTGAACCCAATAAAAATAACTTATTCTTTAATTTTAACTCAAAAGGGGGAGTTGCATCATAAACAAGAGTTTGTTCATTGGGAAAAATAACTTATGCTTCGTATATAAATATTAATTAGTCTTATTTTATCCTTTCAAATATCCCACTTAAATATTCAATTAAAAATCGAATTTGAAGGTGAAAAAATCCCGAAAAATTCCTCAGTGATCGGGACGAGATTTCCTTCGATGAAATATCCGGAAAAAAGGCATGACAAACAAATTTGGATACGGGATTAATGTGATCGAACATATGAGAGTGTAGGGTTTACAAAGTGTATTAGTGCTTTCATTTGCATCATCCGAAATGTAGGGTTGGTTCCCTAATTTTATTTTTCACTCGCTCCTAAACCAGGGTTTGTACTTTCTGTATGAAGTATTCATCCCCACACAGAGTTAGGAAATTTCACAATTTTTTCCTTAATTTTCCTGCATTTTTAACGAATTTTGGGAAAAAAACTAAATAAAATATACAAGAAATGCCAAGTGGAGGCGCTGGAGTGGGGAGCTGCAAGCCAGACCGCCACGCGGCGCGCTCCCATGCCGCCACACGCCAGTTTTTATATTTTTTAATCGTTCCCACTTAAATATTCAATTAAAAATCGAATTTGATGGTGAAAAAATCCCGAAAAATTCCTCAGCGATTGGGACGAGATTTCCTTCGATGAAATATTCGGAAAAAAGGCAGGACAAACAAATTTGGATACGGGATTAATGTGATCGAACATGTGAGAGTGTAGGGTTTACAAAGTGTATTAGTGTTTTCATTTGCATCATCTGAAATGTAGGGTTGGTTCCCCAATTTTATTTTTCACTCACTCCTAAACCAGGGTTTGTACTTTCCGTATGAAGTATTCATCCCCACACAGCGTTAGGAAATTTCCCAATTTTTTCCTTAATTTTCCTGCAATTTTAACGAATTTTGGGAAAAAAACTGAATAAAATATACATGAAATGCCAAGTGGAGGCGCTGGAGTGGGGAGCTGCAAGCCTGACCGCCACGCGGCGCGCTCCCATGCCGCCACATGCCAGTTTTTATATTTTTTAATCGTTCCCATTTAAATATTCAATTAAAAATCGAATTTGAAGGTGAAAAAATCACGAAAAATTCCTCAGCGATCGGGACGAGATTTCCTTCGATGACATATCCGGAAAAAGGGCAGAACAAACAAATTTGGATACATGATTATTGTGATCGAACATATGAGAGTGTAGGGTTTACAAAGTGTATTAGTGTTTTCATTTGCATCATTCGAAATGTAGGGTTGGTTCCCCAATTTTATTTTTCACTCGCTCCTAACCAGGGTTTGTACTTTCCGTATGAAGTATTCATCCTCACACAGAGTTAGGAAATTTCTCAATTTTTTCCTTAATGTTCCTGCATTTTTAACGAATTTTGGGAAAAAAAAAACTAAATAAAATATACAAGAAATGTCAAGTGGAGGCGCTGGAGTGGGGAGCTGCAAGCCTGACCGCCACGCGGCGCGCTCCCATGCCGCCACATGCCAGTTTTTATATTTTTTAATCGTTCCCATTTAAATATTCAATTAAAAATCGAATTTGAAGGTGAAAAAATCACGAAAAATTCCTCAGCGATCGGGACGAGATTTCCTTCGATGACATATCCGGAAAAAGGGCAGAACAAACAAATTTGGATACATGATTATTGTGATCGAACATATGAGAGTGTAGGGTTTACAAAGTGTTGGCTGCGCAAATCTCACAGCCTGGTGCTTCGGGCCGAGGGGATGTGCGTTAACACGTGGCGTCCTTCTTTTGGGTGCGGTACGGTTGTGCGCGGGCGTGCCAGCACAGTCTACTGTGCGTCGAGATGGTGATATGGGTGAAACGGTTAAGTGGTGCGCCTGTTTGAAATCGACTCCTGATCAAACGATTGTGGCCGAGAGAGGAACTGATCTCGGCTGTTAGGTTCACGGCCTGAGCTACAAGGCCGTTTAATGGTGGTATCGGTGGTAGTTTTTGGGCGGTGCTCCGGCGCGTTGCGCAGGGAGCGACGGTCGTATGATATATGGGGTGAGTGAGAGAGTAACAGAGATGGGGCTCCGGCGCCTTGAAAACCAAGGGTCGTATGATATATTGATGAATGGATTTTCCTTACAACCCATCCGACGTCGTCGTCGTAAATCCGTGCTTGCACGGCGTTGGTTTCGAAGTGTTTTTCGTCGGCCAGGTGTATGGACACCCTTTGGCCGTCCCAGAAGAACAACAGTTGGAAGAGGGAGGACGGTATGCATCCGGATTGATGGATCCAGTCACGACCGAGCAATATATTGTACTCCACACTGGATTCGACTACGTAGAAGGCCGCGACTCTTGTCTGGTCGGCCACAGTGATTTTTAATGGCAACACTCCGATGGTCTTTGATTTGTCGCTGACGAAACTGCTCATGACTACGTAGCTGGGGATGAGGTCCTCTTTTGACTTGTCCAGCTTTCTCATCAGGGAATAGGGGAGAATGTTGACCGTCGCCCCACAGTCAACGAAAACTTTGGACACGGGCACACCCTCTACATGAGCCGAGATGTACAACGGCTTGAGATGTCGGTATTTGTTCAGCTCGTCTCTAGGTATTACCTCGTTAAAAGCCACGGCCAGCAACTCTTCCTTCGTCTTTGGCCTTTGATCAAGCTGCTCCTCGGCCACGTCATTATCCAGGCCGTTAGTCTACCCTCGCGGGGCCGAGAACTCAGATGGTAGTACTAAGACCATGTTCATGCTGACCCCCTTTGGCTCCTTCTGGTCTCTCCTACCAGCTTTCTCTTCGGCCTCATAGTCGTCCCTGGCGAGGGTTTTTTCCTTAACCATCCCGAGAATCCCCCAGTATTCTTCATCGGTGATTCCCAGCGTGGGGTCGTCTTCTGCTTCATGCCCAAAGAACGGATCACCAGGGCCCTCTATCATAGGCCTTGCAGTCCCAGGGATATCGTCTGCGGACACTTTGATCTCAGGGGGGTCCGAGGCCTCGATATTCGAAGACGGTGTCAGCCGGAGTCACAGTAAAATATTGGCGGAGGTACTCTAGGTCGCCCTTGCTGAAAGGGGC